TTAAACCTACGTAAGCTTAACGCTTACTGCGATTTTTTGTAAACAATAAAATTGAGTTGATAAATAATTTTTATGCTCAAAAAAATTAAGAAACATGGTAAACACATCAAGCAAAATCATTACTGAATAAAGTTAATGACCTAAAAGACAGCATTTCTGAGCAACATACAAAGATGATTGAAACTACTTTTGATAAGAATCCCACATTAAGCACCAAAAATATTATTCAACATTAATTCCTGAATATTTTTTAGTGGTTGGACAAGATGAAAAAGCAAAGGTGTTTCTGTTTGGTTCTATATTGATTATCTAAAAGTTCTCCATTTCAAAAACTTGAATAATACTTGTTCCATAATTGATACTGATGACTTATTCAACTATCATGCTTCTAATATATAAAATTATAAGTAATGTGTAAGTTAAAAGGTATATATGTTCACTTTTATACTGCTGGTGCTAAAAGTTGATATATACACATACTACTCCACCATACTATTCCACCATGTTTCAGATATTGTTGATATTTATGAATTTTTGATGGTTTATGAAATACAAGGTTTTGAAGGAGCTTATATTGATGATCTTGTAAACTTGAACATACCAATCAAAATAGTGGAAAACAGACACAACTTGCCATCTATAACCAATTTCACAAATACACACAACGTAGTTGAAGAAGGGTTTTTCAAATTCATTTCTATTAGTTTTGTTATTAAATGAATTTATAAAAGAACCCATATGTATTGGAATTATATTAATTTGTTGTTGAATAAAAAAACCAAAAATTTGGTCTTCTTGGTGAAATAATAAATGAAAATAAATTGACATTTTTTTTTTGATATTTTTATTTATTAAATAGCATCTGTCTAAAAGTATTCCACTAAGCTTGGAACAGATGTCATCTTCATCATAATTATTACTAATTCTCAATCTTGTTTTATTAATTTACAATGTAACATTTAAATATGTTCACTTTTTTACACAAATGATGAATGTATTTATGAATTTTTTGAGATCAGATTTGTTAACATCTTCCAACTACTTAGACGATGTTGGTTTGTTGTATTTTGGTTCCTATTTATGATAGAAACGACATTAGAAAAAATTTGAACTCGTTTCCATATATATAGCCCTTGCCAAATATAATCAGGATCAAAAAGTGGCCACAACCAATTTCACAAACACACGCAACGCGCTTGAAGAAGGGTTTTTCAAATTCATTTCTATTAGTTTTGTTATTAAATGAATTTATCAAAAAACCCAAAGGTAATGGAATTAAATTAATTTGTTGTTGAATAAAAAAACCAAAAATTTGGTCTTCTTGGTGAAATAATAAATGAAAATAAATTGACATTTTTTTTGATATTTTTAATTGTTTTTTTGAAATTAAATTCATCAGAAAGAATATTACAACCCAAAAAAGTTACTTTGTTTGGAAATGGTATCTTGTTTTTTATTTATCAAGGTTTCCTTTAATTATTTGCAAGGATTAAAAATACACCATACCATGTCAAAACATTTAAAGATGGGAGAGATGGTTTTTTTTCAAACTGTCACTAATAGTAACTTTTAATAAGAGCTACAAAATTCCATTAGAAAAAAAACAAAATGACAACCTCATCACCACTACCGCAACTGGAATCATCACTGTTATCAATGTCATTGTCAAACAATACTCTCCCACCTGTACTAACATCTCTCCTAAGACTTGAACCACTCATCGTATCATACATTGAAATGACAATAGTCATCATCTACTTGTTCATCACTATTGGTCTACTCCTCTTTATCATTTACTTCCTGCTCAAGTTGAGGCGGGAAAGGGGAAATTTAATGAAAAATCAAAAAAGAATTATTTATGGAGTGTTGGTTATGTGTTGCTTGGAAATTGTCTTGTTAATTTCGAGGATTATTTTCGATAGTCTTAACATTTCATTTGGATTCAGATATCAAGATTATTTTTCGGATAGGTATGGAAATAATGAAACAATAATTGAGGGTTTTCAAACTCTACTCTGGTTCAACAATACACTCGGACTAACACCCCATGAAGTTGGAATTCCATTCGAACAAATTGTCATTTATGCAATTGCAGAATCCCTTGAAATATGTATGGCATTGATGAATGTTCAAGTGATGGTCATTATCGTTTGGTTTGTAACGTTGGTTTTCATTGAAACATTTAGACTCTCGAGTGGAACACTTCGATCCAAAAAATTATTTTACTTTACAAAAATTGTAACAATTTTTACAGGTATTAATTCAGTTGGATTGGTTTTGATTACTGTATTTGTGAGTATTGTCACTATTTTAAATAGATTGGCCTATGCTGGAGATGATTTGGTCACGTACGGCTATATTTTATGTTTTATAATATTTGTGTTGGAGGTGACAACTCAAATTACAATGTTGGTGGTATGTTTACAAAATGTTTACGAGTCAATTTACAATTTTAATTAGATTGCAGCATATGCAGTTCTTAAAACAATTTCAAAAATAGCTGAAGATCAAAAAAAGAAGAGAAATTCCATTGTTAAAGTACTAATTTTACAAAGTGGATTATTTGGATGTTTTCTATTCGAAGCTTTTGCAGGTGGCAGTGGTGTTGCTCAACAAGATCCAGCACTCAGTCATTTTGCACTTGGATATTCAATATGTAACACTTTGGGAATTCTTGTTTTTGCATTCACTGCTTTGGCTCTCTACACACCCATTCACCTTCTCAAGGAAAATCAAGGATCTGATCAGAATGGTACCACCAGTAGTATCAGATCTAACAATTCAAAACACATTCAATCTGCCAGGAATACCAGTAGTACCCATAAATACAGTAAAAATCAAAGTGGTGGTGGTGATGGTGTGAGATGTGAATGTGGTGGATTTGGAAGGAAGTGAGAGGGGTGATATCACCATGGAGGTTTCATCATCTATTAGTGTGAAGGAGATGGCAGAAAAGCAACAACCCATGACAGAGAATGAGAGTATCCCTGTTTCTGAAAAATCAAATAGTTCTGATTCTGATGATAGAGTGGATCAAGTACAAGAATGTTTGTAAGGTGGAATAGGAATTTTTTTGGAATGTGGATTTATGAGTTTTTCTAAGCCATCGGTCGATCCTTCAAGGATGTTATTAACATTGATTTCTCTTTTGAACTTTGCATCCAGTACAAACAAACTCTATGACCATTCTAACAGGAGATTGCAATGTTGAGTGAGGTACTTGAAAATACACCAGGAACTTTGCCATTTTGAATAGTTTTTTGAAGGATAATATTAATTTTATTTAAATAAAAATGCAAACAGAGTTGAAAACCAATTTTGAAACCAATTTTTATCGGAACAAACATGATCACTTTACGAGTCAACAATCATCATCATTATATTTATTGATAAAGAAAAGAAAATTAAAAACACGAGAGCAAGCTCTTGCTTTCTATGATGAATTGAAAAAAAGTAAATTCCTAAAGTCATATTTTAATCGTGATTTGGAAAAACTCTCGGAATTGATGAATAATTTGATGGATTATTTGGAATATTATTTGAAAGAGGAGAGAGGAGGCAGACAAGGTTAAAAATCAAAATTTCATACTCTCGGAAATTGAAAAAAGAAAACAAATAATGATACAAGAATATTCAAAAACAGTGGATATATTATATGGAAATATTTATCAAGTTAAAATTGAAGATTTAGAATCGGATTCAATTGAAAATTTGACAATTTATTCGAAAATTAGTCACAAGAATCGAGTTGATCAATTATTAATCATTTTGGATCATTGTCAATGTGTATATAATCAATACTTTATTGTAAATAATGATGTACAATTGTATAAATATTTAACCTTATCTATCAAGTATGGAAATGTATATGAAAATGTAAAATATCTCGTCTATGAAAATTCTGAGCTCAAATCTAAAGTTTTAAATTACTTTATCTGTAGAGAGTGTAAAACCAATTATAATAATTTTAAAAAGTACAAGCAATTGAAAATTAACATTCTCAATTCATACATTCAAAGTATAATTAATAGATTGGGCGTTAAAACGGACTATGTAAATAATTATGTAATTTATCTCACTCAATGTGTTAAATATTTTCAATCATTTGGACATTTGAGGAATATTAACAAGTATCAACAAGCAATGCCTAAAATGATTAGACTCATCTTGACTCGGAATACCCACCAATTCTCTCATCATTGTAAATTGAATTATTCGGAAATTTTGAATAGTATTGGTCAGTATGATTCATCTGAAATATTGGAACAGAGTTTATTTCTCGATCATTCTGTTCATCCAATGCAAATATTCAAATACATTAAAACACAAAATGAAATGTACCTCTTGGATTTGGATCAATTCATTCAAATACTGTATGAAAAATTACACAAAGGAAAACCACTCTCTCAACAAAAATTCTACAACTATCTCATTTACAAATTTGGATATTTCAATAATGATCTTTTAATTGAAAAGTATAATGAAACTCAAATAATACTGAAACAATTCATTGAACAGCAAATTTCCAATATCATACTCTCCCCACAATGTTTTAAAGAGAAAGAAATCCTCAAATCCATCCTTTCCAAACTCAACATTGAATCCATCACCAAATCAGATCCAAATTGGCAAAATCATCTATCCAATCTCTACCAATTCCTTTTATTGAATGCCTATAATAAAATTCATTGAGATTACCCATTTTTGAGCACTAGGTCAATTTCTTAATTGATATTGAAAATTAAAAAACTTGCTTCCTTTTTGTTTCAAAAGAAAAAAAAATCAAATTCTTCATCACACACAACAAGATCTTTCGGAAAGCTTTTTAAAAAACACAATAATATCATCATCAAGCAGAATACATTTAATATAGACTTTTTACAATTATAATAATAATAATAATAATAATATGGGAGGAACCTTTTCATCATCGGTTGAAAATACTATTGGCCAAAATGATTTTCTAAATGATTTGTGTGGAGCAGAGCCTATTAGAAATCATGATGAATTTTGGAGTAAATTTGCGTATCAGTCTCTCTTATCCATTTCTCAAACTATTATTTCTCAATCAACGTTTTCCAATCAACAACAACCACAACAAAACAATGGTACATTATCCGATGGTGGTGAGAAATCATCCACCAGTAGTGGAATTGGGCTTGTAGCTCGAGCTGTTTCTTCTTCATCTGTACTCAATATCGGAGATTACTTTCCATTGTCTTTACTTCATCCTGATATTTTGGATAAACACTTGTTTAAATATGCATCACTTTTACGTAGGTATTAAAATTATTACATCTCTCTCTGATCAGAGAGTTAATTCATTAATTTTGATTCAAAATCTTTGTAATATTGACAATATATAATATTATTTTAATTAATTACATAATGATAACAACAACTTGTTGTGGATAATAATCAAATGAATAGATGGAAATAATTTACAGACAGGATCATTGAGTGCCTTCATGTTACAATTATCACAGTGGTTAATTTTGAGAATGGAAGAGGGAAAGTCGGATGAGTCAAACACTGAAGAGGATTTATCCACAGTGAATAGAGAGGCAATTCTTGTCACTTGCAATGCCTTTGTAATCTTTAGATATCTCATTCATAGAATTATAATGGATTGTGAAAATAATGCAGAGTATTTAAAAACACACTTGTATAATTTACCACCAGGTTTCAAATTGTCTGCCAATCTCATTGAAAATTATTGTTATATTGATGAGGAAAGAGATCCAGAATTTGAAATGGAAGGAAAGAATAGAATTCACTCACCTCTAGTGGTGAGAATATTCATAGAGACTATTTTATTGTTTTTGAGTGAGAATCGAGTGACAATTCATAATTATTTACTGCATTTGGAGGTTATGAACTGTCTTTTAATATTATTTAGTACCTCTCTCTATGGAGGCGTCATTAATGAGGATCAGGAAGAGGAAGAAGTACATGATACCATTGGTAAAATTCAAGAATCAAGCAGAGAGCATAATATCTTCCTGCAGGAGGCAATTTCCATTATGAGAATTAGAAAACAGTTCAAATCAAGTTGTAAATCATTTGATCCAAATAGATTGATACATGCCCTCTTGCAAAACCATATAACATATAGAATTACAAAGAAGGAGGCATCACCATTCCAAGTTTCAATTAGAACTACACTCCAAAAAATCTTTTCCAAATTGGGAGAGACTGCTTCCTCAATCCTCTTCTTGCCCTATAATGCCTATAGAAATATCTTTTATAAGGAAACAAAGGAAATTGAATATAGCGAGAAACTCAGTGAAATGCTTCCTGAACTCCTTGGTAGGAGAAGTATAATGAATCTTCTGTTATTGATATTTTATGGGAAGAATGATCACCGAGTACTTAATCCATACCTTTCACACTTTACAAATCTAACCAACTTGGATGATGTGATCATTTCTCAATTTAATTCGTGGAGCTTTAACGACTATTCAGAATATAAAGTCAAGTCAGACGATAAGAGCAACAATGGAATATCATTTGAAAAGATATTCAACTCTATTGTGAGAGATTTTGAAGAGGAGGAATGCACACTCCTCACCTATAGTTTGTTACACGACAACAAATCATTCAGAGAGTTTGTTCTTTCAAAATCAGACTCAGAGACAATCTTGTTACCACTCCTCCACAAGATTTACCATTCAAAGAATGACAAGCCAAATCACATTTATACTCTTCTGGTAGTACTCACACTTCTCACTCAAGACACATCATTCATGATCAATATCCACAAGCAAGTCATCAGTTCCGTACCGTGGTTTACTGAGAGAATTCTAGATGAAATTCATCTTGGAAGTTTGATTGTTGCTGTACTCATCTCTGTTGTTCACTATAATATTTCACACAAAAAGGATATGTTTTTGAATAGGTCTTGCCTTGCAATAATTTCCAACTCTGGTCCATACTTTTCTAACATGCACACGTATACAGCTCAAAGATTGGTCACACTTACAAGATTGTTGACCATTAAATTTGAAAAGATACGAATGTTGCCATCATCCACTGAAGAGGACAAGGAAACCCATTTTTCCTTACTCAAGTTTGCTCTAGAAACTATAAATTGTATTTTGGTGAATAACAAGGAGGGTGGATTGAGGAAAAATTTGAGACTAATTTATGAATTATTATATCAGAGACGTGTGGTCAAGAGACTTGAGGAATTGTCATTATTCCCTGATTATGTACATAATTTAAAGACAATAGTAGAATATTTTGATGTGCAAATTTCCAATATCATTAATATTGAAGGAAAACAAATGATTAATGACAAGGTTGGACAATCTCACATGTCACCATCAAGAGAGATTTCCAATGATGTATTTGATGAATATGTGGATAATGCACAACAATCCAAAATGTGGAGTTCAGAGAGCTACTTAGAGTGCATTCATAAAGCATCTCAGTTTTGGTCGACTAGTAGAGCTGAGCAACACTTGAAAGTTATTCAATTTTTGCCTTCACACTTCTCTGAAGATGGAGATACTGAACCTTTCTTTGTTTCATATTTGTGGAGTATTATAGCAAGAAATTGTTTGAGTTTGGCTATTGATTTACCTTTCGATGATGACGAGCAAACAAATAATGAAATAGAAGTAGTTACTGAATAAATTATTATTATTATTATAAATTATTACTTTTGATAAGGATATCCACAAAGTGAAATCCCTTGTTATAATCTTGATTCTTAGCGCATGCATTTAAAAGGAAGGTTTTGAACTTGCACACCTCTCGTGTTATTATCTTTTCAACTCCTTTTGATACAATTACATGAATAACATCACCACTCTTTAAAAAGTACTTTCCATCTCCTTCCATTTCATCTTCCAAAAACGATCCCTCAAAAGAGAGAGGATCTTCTCCACCTTTGGAACAATTGAACACAATCTTTCCCTTTCCATGTTTTTTACCACTCACAAATGATCCCTTATAATTTTCATTTCCATTTACCAAGGTACCTTCACCATGTTTCAATCCTTGTGACCATTCACCCTCGTATTTTGATCCATCAGCTCCAATATAGGTTCCGAATCCAGTTCTCAAATCATCAACCCAATCTCCATAATATTCCTCTCCAGAACAATAACGATAGATACCAAATCCATTTCTTACACCATTCTTCCATTCACCATCATATTGATTTCCACTCGGATACGTGTAGATTCCTTTTCCAGTTCTCAATCCTTCCAGATATTCTCCAGTAAAAACACCTCCATCCTTATACCATGAAGTACCATAGCCGTGCTTTGCGTCCTTCTTCCACTGTCCACAATACTTGTTACCTTCATTATATTCTTGCATTCCATATCCATGTCTTTCGTTATCCTGCCAGAAACCTGTATAGATATTTCCAAACTCATTCAAAAAGGTTCCCAGTCCCTCTCTGGCATGATTGACATATTCACCCTCATATTTGGATCCATCCTTATATCTCTTAACTCTATAATTCTTTGATTTTCTCAACTCATCATAAACTCTAAACTTGTCGATAACATAAACGTAAGGGTGGAAGTAGTAGGATGGATTTTGGTCCACATTGATCATTTCTATTCATTGAATCATGTTTTGAATTAACTATGAGATGCGATGAAAGATCAATAATCTTGGTTTCCTGCTTCTTTTCTGCCTTCTCGGTCAAGTCAACTGTAGAGTAGAAGTTCTTTTTGAATTCGTTCAGTTGTTTTTTAAGCTTTTCAATTTCCTTATTCTTTTTTCTGATGATGGTCCTACTTTCAGTTTCAATCTTGGAGATTGTGTCCTTGTATTCAATTTCCTTTTTAGTTGCCAATTCTTTCACCTTGGTCATAATCTTGGCTGTTGTAATGGCTGTTTGAGCTATTATAAAATCAGTATTACAACAGTCAAAGTTTGTAAATGAACTAATCAAGTTATAAATACTATTAAAATTTCCAAAATAGTCGTGTACATAGTTTGACACCATGCTGAACAGCCTTAATGAATGCTCAGTATCCAATTCTCTCAATGATCCTTCTATTATTTGCTTAATGATAGGAGATGTTTCATCAATCCATTCATTCCAATCAGTGTTCTCTCCAAAATTTAAAAACTCAACTCTATTTGCCAATCCTCTATTTAGATGAATTGTTATCATATATTTATAGTTTTTTGACTTTTAACAATGCTGAAATAAATAAAAAACTTACTGATCCAACACCAAGTCAGATCTACAAAAAAGTACTCTAATATCCGGAATCCTTAATAAAGAACCTGTAGATGATGCTCTAAAAGCGTCTGTTAAACTTGAAGATATTTTCAAAATTTCAGATCTGTGAACAAAAATGATCGCATCAGTAAACAATGATAAACTTACATGATCTGATGTGCTATAGCTTCCTCAATTTCCTTGTTTACAACTATGTACAAAATGGAACTCGATAATAGGGCCAACCTTATCAGCCGTTGCTTTTCAGTCTCCTTGTTGATGTCTACTTTTGAATGTACAAGAAGGACTCTATTGGATGAGTCCATCGCCGAATAAGATACATTGCATGATAATGATGATGATGAATTCAAATGAGAGTCAGATGATGATGTGGATGAATGATCAGATGATGATTCACATGCAATGAACAATGTCGAAACAATCAAAGTCTTTCGCTCCAATGAAGAACAGCCGATACAAGAAGCCTCAATACATTGAGAAGGATCTAGGAACTCTAAATTAATGTTTGTTCTTCTGATGAGAGGAGAAAACTTTTTACAACAAGGTTTTTCCTTTCTAGCTACATTCTGATAATCATCAAATGTGTCCTCATAATTATCAACTTCCCAATTCAACGATTCTTCATATCTATTGGTAAAGGAACAATCACTCTTCTCATCATCCAATTCGTCGGAAACCTCATTAATTCCAAACGAATCAAGACTCTCCATATCCTTATCAACCTTCAACTTTTTATACCAACTGCTTCCACTAGAAAGATACGACTCTACTCTCTTCATCAATCCGTTCGTATCCGATGATGTAAAATCTAACACTAAATCCTCACACTCCGTACTACTACCATACATTTGCAAGACCTCTTCGAACAAATCTTGTTGTTGTTGGTTGTTGTTGTGAAGATCGTCATCAAGGTTTCTCATTTTTTCTAAGGCACCAACTTCATCTTTTCAAAATCCAAAGTTTTTTCCTCACATAATTTTATGGTAAATTGTTGTGCAATGGAGGCGACAGTAAACATGCTTAATTGAAACATGATAAAATTGAATCATCGACAAGTGGTTACAGTTTGAGAGTGTTTTATAACAAGCATGGCCTTATTGGGAAGAGACATTAATTACGGTCCTTCGTTTTGACCCCACTCGTATGTAAAATAATATTTTCTCTACCCCACTCGTGTGTAATGTAATTTTATTAAAATTTTAAGAAAAACCAAGCTTCGCTTTCAGCTTGCTTGATTTTTCTTTATTGTAAAAGCTAGCTTAATAAAAGTAAAAAAATATTTTAAAAAAACCTCAATACAACTAACCCTCTACAAAAGCACGCACTTCCAAATGTTTCCACAACAACAATAACACGCCTTACCTTCGCTTCATGAATTCTTACAGCTATTACCATCAAGAAATTAATTAAGGATAACCATTGGTACAAACTGATGATTCATTACCTTAGAAGACACTTTTGTAAATAGAAAGGAAGATTAATCAACAACAACCAGCACAATACAATGGTTTGTACTTCACCACATACGGACAAAAATAACCAAAGAAAAAGTTAAGAAGACTTTCCCAGCAACTATAATTCCATAGGTTTAACAAGAGAAGGAATTGGAACAAGAAGAAGAACCACTATAGAATTAGAAACGTGGAGTACCAAAGAAATCACAATTTGAAGAATTAGTAAAGAAATAATTAAATAAATAATGTTTTTACCCCCCAATTATTTCGTAATTTTCTAGCCAACACCCCTAAATTAAAAGTAAGATTATTACCCCTCCTCCCCACTTGTAACATTAATTTGTGTCTCTTCCCATTGGTGCTAAAATTGATTCTCTTTCTAATTGAATTGTAGGCCTGTGAGTGCATGAATGATTATTTTGCTGTATTTGGGACTGTGTGGAAATGACGCATATCAAGAATGGTAATATAGATACAGTTGAAAATTGAGGAAATAAAGTGAATTATTTAGGTAATAGATTGAAAGATTGTTTGTTAATTGAGAGGTATTCTATGCACTTTGCATAATGAAATTTCATTAACCAATCGTTTTACAATTAAACTGCTTCACCTTTCTGCATTCGGTGACCTTCGTACGCTTTTACAAAGTGAAATTTATTTTAATATTTATACGTACGCTATTAACTGCGTATTTAATGCGATAACTAGAGGCATTGAGTTTTCCGCTCATAAAAAACTCCCTATTGGTTGGAAAATCTCCAAAATTTACAACAAACACAAAAAAATGACCCAAGACAACAAGACAGCATCCGTCACAGAAGCAAAAACATCATCGACAACAACAGGTTCATCATCTTTCCTCCGTGCTCTTCAACACTGGTCTGGTGTAGCCTTTTCTGTTTTTGCCTCTCTCCACGTAGCTACTACAGTTTCAGCCTCCGTTTCACCTGCTACTTATGATCTCGTCTTGGAAAAGACAAGAGGAATCTATCGACCAAATATGATGATGGAAGGTTTGGTTGTATTTGCTCCATTGGTAGTCCACATGATTGCCAATTCATTGATCTTTATGAGTGGAAAAAAATCAACAGCCACAGCCAATACATCACTTGCTAAAAAGTTACACACATACACTGGATATGCTTTGGGGGCTTTGGTTCCAATGCACATTTTTGGAACTCGTTTTATGCATTCATATGCTGGTTCTTTTGCTTCCATTGCTTTTGCAGCTGAGAAGGAAATAGGTCAAGGTGCAGCAATGGGTTATTTTGGACTCTTATTGACCAGTGGAGTTTATCACTCAATTTATGGATTGAATGTCGCTCTTGGGTATAAATTGAAGAAACCAGTAGTTTTGGCATCTATTGTTGCAGTTTTGGCTGCTTCTTACTATGGAGCCTTAGGTTTATTGGGCTACTTGTATCCTGATCAAATGGTTGCTGTTAGAGCTAAATATGATCAATTCGCTCATTAATTTTGTAAAATAAATAATATTTACTAAATCTAAAAGATTAAGGTAAAACTCAAGTTATATTCAATTTCAAAAATGATCAATCTGAACTGATTGCTTTACAAACAGCCACTGCACCAGGTGGGAACTCAGTCACATTTTTAATCTTGTCTTCAGACAATTCAGATTGATAATTGTCCAAATTGATATGTGCACCAATTGCAAAGAAACAGAGTCTTCCACAATTTGGATTTTCGAAATGAACCTTTTAATCCTAACAAGAATCTTGAAAGAGTATCCAACACAAAGTGCAAAGTCACTTTTTTTCATTTCCAACCCTAGACTAATTACCTGGCATGTAAAGCTTTTTGTTTTCCTTGGTGGGCTTGTTTCTTGTACAATATATAGACTTTCGTCTCTCTTGAGTGGAAACTTGGAATTTGGTAAGTTAATGTGAACCCGTAGAATCTTTAAAGGTTCAGTGAGCTTAATATCATCACAATATAGAGGAGTTGTGTAATAGGAATTAAAAGTAATATATCTATTATCTCCAATAATTCTAGGCTCTGGAATCATTTCTTTGTTGAAACCACCAGATAGAATTGCAACTTTAGCAACCAAATCTGTACCTCCCACTTTTGGTTGTTGTTTTTCAATATCAAGAATAAAGCCTCTCAAAGGTTTTGATTGAACATAACTAGGAAGTGGTCTGTAAGATTTTTCAATAGTTGAAGTGAGCTCACTAATTCCCTTATTTGTCTTGTAATTGATAAAGAACAAGTTGACGGCCTTGAATCCAACTCTTTTACCCATCCCTGTAATGAATGGGAATATTTTAGAGTGATATTCTGATTCATTAAACTCGTTACAATTTGAAACGTCCACAAGAACACCAACCTCCCTAATTCCCATTGTAAACATTTTTACAAAATTATTACTAACAATATCAATACTCCTCTGTTCCTCAATTGGTAATGAATTAGAGTCCTCTAGTTCAGCAAATTCTACACATTCTCTAGGGTCTATATAAACCAATCCAAAATCAAATGAGGAAAGTATTGAACAGTCGCTGGTCTCTAAAAAAGTAAACACATTTTCAAGAGAATCTTTCAAATGATAGTAAGGTTTTTTAGCTATAAACTCTTCATAAAGTTTCTTATAACTTGCAACACTATTTCTATAGGATGACAATATTTTCCTATTGAAAATCATTGACTCACACTTCATTTGCCAAAATTGATCATCATCATCAACAATGTCATTTACATGAGAGGAGCATCTCAAAAGTGCAGCCAATGTTCGATTATCCAGAAAAAGTGCCATCAGGCAAACAATTTCATTCGGAGCAATATTCAAAAAATCTAGCAATTTAATTGATTCATCATCAATAATATTTTCATCATGATTAGGTATTGTAAAATCGGAAAGTGATTGTTTATGATCAGATTCATATTTTAAATTACTAATATGACTCAACAAATTTCCAATCGCATTCGGAAAGGGATAGGCTGCAGCTGCTCTATTTTCCAATTCATCACTGGAACCAGGCTGTTGTTTAGTGAGTGCAAGCCTTTGAATCACCACAAAAAATTGTTTCATTTTTTTTCTTGAAATAGCTCTCTTTCGAATCATAATAATGGTTTGGTTCATTTTGCTCTTTCCTTTCACCACCTTGAACGAAACTGGAGCAATAGAGAGTGCTAAACACAAAGCGGTTGGAAATAATATATTCTTTGGAGGTGTTTTTAGAAATTCCATTGGTATTTCGCCAACTATTATTATCAAGCATCCAAAGTATAAGAATGATCAGTGTAACATGTTTTTGGTAAAGATGGATTTGACCACCAATGAAATTTTATGGTACAAATCAGAGATTTTGGAAGCTTGTGGAACGACATTGACTGCCATAGAAACATCAATTGAAAATAATGGTGATTGTGAATATGTGGCTGTTTCTCTGCTAACTTCATGGCCCTGTTGTGATTTTCTTGCCACAGGAGGTCCAGGATTGATGATTTACAATGCCACGAGTGGTGAAAGACTGTGGGCTCAACAAATGGTTGTTTATTATGGTAATATTTTGAGTTTGGCATTCGATAGATCTTCCTTGTTTGTAACTGGATATGTTGGTGATTCGAATAGTTTTGGAGTTGAAGTTTTTCGTGATGAAGATTCAGCTGGAAAAGTTTACAATACCTTCGCTTTAATGTTAAGGTTGAAAGATTGGAGTAGACAATGGGTTGTTCAAAGTATTGATACAACTTTTGCAACTGAAGACATGGGAAAAAATCCAAGACTAGTAACTGGAATATACCCAGTATCAGTTAGTGGAATGGATTTGTTAGTGTTAACTGGATTTTTCACACAAGGTGAATCAACCACATGGAGAGATTCAGATAATAACTTGGTCAAAATTGAGAAAAATGGTTTAAATGGAAATTATGTCATGCTACTTTATCAAAATGGTACTATTCTATCTTATCTTTCTACAACAGTGAACACATATATAGTTAGAAGAACAGCATCTGTTATTCTGTGTGGTTCAAATACTATTTTAGAATGTGTGGAATTGAGTTTACCAAAACTTGAAACAAAAAATGTAATGCTTTCAAATCAGTTGAGTTCTTGTAAATCTACAATTTATTCAGTGACAGGTACCGAGTCACTTGTTTTTATTGCAGCAAGGTTTGATTCTTGTAGAAACAATGAAATTATAGTTCAATCATTGGATAACAATTTAAGGGATGCAGAATGGATTTTGCGTGTGAATGGTACGAATGTGAACTCAGTTTTTATATCTGCAACCAATTCATACGTTGCTGTTTCATATGTTTATTATGGAAGGTTAATTGACCTTACAGGAAATGCATATAGTTCTCCTCGTTCAAATCTATTGATTCAGTCTTACAGCTCTAAAAATTACAAATCTTGTTTTGGAATTGCTTATAATGACACGAGTGTTTGCTCTGGACATGGCATTTGTCAATCTTCAGATTATTGTGTGTGCAATTATGGTTATGGTAATACAAATTGTTCTCAATTTACTTGTTTTGGTAAATTAGAATCTGGATGTAATCACGGTAAATGTATTGGAATAGACAAGTGCCAGTGTGATAACAGCTATTTTGGACCTCATTGTAACATTACAACGTGTTTTAACATCCCGTCAACCAATCAATCATTTGTTTGTAGTGGTTGGGGGAATTGTGTAGATTATAATACCTGCAAATGCAAGACTAGTTATTTTGGAAATGATTGCTCTTCCTTCATGTGCTATGAGGTGTTATCAAAATCAAATCAAGTTTGCTCTGGAAGAGGCAAATGTGTTTCAACAGACCATTGTGTTTGTCAAGAGAACTATTTTGGAGATAATTGTGAACATACTAGTTGTTTTGGTATTGATTCGAATAATTTCACAGTGTGCCAACGTTCTGGATTTTGTGTTGGCTATGATACTTGTAGTTGTCTAACAGGAAGTGCTGGTCCAGATTGCTCCATTCCTACATGTTATTCAATATCTACCCTATCAACAGATCAATTGGTTTGTGGAGGAAATGGCAATTGTGTTAGTAAGGACAATTGTGTTTGCAAACAATTCAATAACAGTTTACCAATGTATGTTGGCAAGCAATGTGAAACTCCTATCTGTTTTGGAAATATTGGTGTGGAATCTTGCTCTGGATATGGTGATTGTATTGGTCCTAATAATTGTAGTTGTCATGATGGGTTTTCAGGAAAGCTTTGTAATGTGGATGAAAATCTGCTTTACAAAATTCTAGTTCCAGTTGGAGTGTTGGTTTCATGTCTTGTATTTTTCTTACTGGTTAGTGTAGCTCTCTATATTTACAAAAACAGGTATTGGAATAAGAGAAAAAAGACAGAAATGGAAATGGAAAAAAAGCTTCTCGATATTGAATTAGAATTAGAGGATGAAAGAGGAAAGCAATTATCCTATTTGATTCCAATAGAAGAATTAGAATTAGTTGAGAAAATAGGTTCAGGTGGTTTCGGTCAGGTTTACAAAGCCAGATGGAAGCAAGTTAGTGTTGCTATTAAAAGTGTAGATTACAATGAAGATGATGAGATAGAACAGGAGGAAGATACATTTGAAAGAGAAGTTCTTTTACTCAACAGTTTGAAACATCCAAATGTTATACAATTCTTTGGTGTTTGTATCACAGATCGAAGAAAGTTAATGGTTATGGAATATCTTGGAGGTGGTTCATTGGATAAGTTAATTAGTGAACTTCGATTGAAAAGAAAAATGATCAAACTAATTGATAAGATTCGTATTTTATTTGGAGTTTCTAACGGTTTGAGTTATTTACATAACTTGAAACCGAAAATGATTATTCATAGAGATTTAAAAAGTGCTAACATTTTATTAGATGAGAATATGCAACCCAAGGTTTGTGATTTTGGATTGTCTAAATTGATTGGAAATACCAATTCAACCAATATGACTACCAATTTAGGAAGTATCCTTTATATGGCTGTAAGTAATACTAATTAATTGAACAATAGTATAATAACTTGTCTTTAAAGCCTGTAAGTATTTGTACTAACATTATTCATAATTAATTTATTAAGGAATTGATTGGTGACAGTAATATTTCAATTTCTAACAAGTTGGACGTCTACAGTTTTGGCATTGTAATGTATGAGTTACTTTTTGAGGAGAATCCATACATTAATCAAAGTTCTGAAAAAATTAATAGATTTTCAAAGTCTGAGATAACAGATGTGAATAGTTTCAGTATTCCACTCAAAGTTTCCAAAGGATTCAGACCTAAAATTCCATTCTCTACTGTTGAAGAGAGATCAGTATGGTATGGATTAAGGAGTATATGAAAGATGACAAGAAATATATGGATATTGACATTTTAGTTTCAGTTGTGGATCAGTATATTGACTTGATGAAAGATTGTTGGGATCAAAATCCAGATGAGAGACCTTCGTTTGATGAGGTTGCAGATCGTTTAGCAAATATTCTTTCCAAATTCAATATATAAATATCTAATAACCATCAATTACGTTTACATCCAAAGGATATGTGGTTTCTACTAACCTGATTGGTCGTTTGCTCTTGAGTTCGGTATTGGAATCTCAAGTCTCCCAATCATAATAAATGTGAGGAAAAAAACACTTCAAGTATTTGTATCATGGTACACCATCAATCCTAGGCCTAATGTGGCTAGAAAATCACAACATGGAGTTAGTAGAGTAATAAACACTCATTCACCATGGTTTTCTATTGATGTTTATATGATAGTCCACTTTGTTCAACAAGCTTTCAAAAATCTCCTGATTTGTACCTTAAAATTACCAAAAACAAGTTAGACTAACACTTTGGATGCTGTTTGTATGAAGTCAACAGCGAAATGATGTATTTCCAACAGCTTTGTGTTTAGCACTCGCTACTACACCAGGTTCTTTAAAGTCAAGTAGTGTGGAATGCTCTACGAAAATAATTAAAAAACAAGTATCACTTGTCAACTGAGACTGTTTTTATTTGGTTTATCAAATTGCTTGGTTTGGTTTATTTCCAGCACCTGACAAATGATAAGGGCGTGAAGAAACACCCATTTCCAACATTATGACAAAACAAAAAAACTCATATTTGCCATAGATTAGTCGTGTCAAACATTGTTAGACCAACACCTGTTTCCAAATGAAACCCCAATAGTAATTGGCAAGTTTCAAAGTGTGTTGTTGTTGTTGTATATATAAAAAAATCATTCAAAACTACGATAATGAATTATAAATTTAAAGTCATTTTGCCAATTCTCTGTTTCTCTCTCATAACATTCCTCCTGGAAAGACATTTTCTCTACTCGCACCAGAAATATTCTTCAAAACAACCTGGTGCTGCTGGAGCTGGACATCTCATGCATGTTGTGGTAATCTATGAAAACTCAGAAAAGGTTGCCTCTCCATTGTTAGCTCTTCCATCATGTCCCTCGCCTCCCCACCATGTAACTCTACATGTTTTCATGAATTCAACCAATACCATCGATTGTATTGTGAAGAGATTTGGTTCTTGTGAGAGAGTTTCGTTGAAATTCTATGAGTCGAACGAGTTGTCTGTTGACGCCAAATCGACACATTATAGTGCTGCCTCTGCCAACAAGAAGTTAAAGCTGATTGAATTCTTTCAACATAAATTGGCACATTTCTTGTTTTTGGATGCAGATACCTTCTTGGTTCATGGTTTTGATGGTCTAATCTATGCCTGGGAGTATCTGTA